GAATTTCGTTAATTAATCAATATTAAATAATCTGATTTGTATAGTAATATATATATATTTTAAATTATGTAGTCAAGGAGTTAACTAACTAAAACACTATATGCGCTGGTTTTAATGAAAACGAATGTCGTCAATCATTGAATTCCGAAAAAAAACAATGAAATCAAGATAATGATGATTATCATATTAGAAACTTATTTTAGTCTCGTGAGAAAATATCAAAGAACCTTGCAAATGGTTATTTTGTCAATAAAACTCCCATTATAATTTAATATCGTTAAAAAAGTATTATACCTTTTTTATATTATTTCAGTATTATAAAGGCTCTAACTAGTACAACAAAGATGCAGACCACAAAGATTCAAAAAAATGTCTTATCATTTTTTCATGTGTGTAGCTATAGGAAAGTGCCAAATTTTATTTAATTCAATACTAAAATAACGTTCAACTTCAATTTATTCTTATATCGATGGCTTATTTAAAAATTACCATTTTACAGAGAACAGTGTTAACTTTTTCTTAAAATTTGTTTTTATGCTTTTAGCGGTTATTTATATCAAACTGAATTATAAGCGACGTTGTTGTCGAAAAAAAACAATTCATTTCTTTATTACACAATATCTGTTTTCGGCCAAAAACATACTTGCAATTTTAAATGAATATTATATTAAACTAACAGATAAACGATGTCTATAAAACCGAGGAAAATATTGATATAGACGGCTTAAACAGTTTATAAAAGATGTATTTGGAAAGAAGAGACAACACCAACAAATTGGTAAGCCAAAATAATAAATAACCCTAATAACATACGTTCCTAGGTAAAATCAATAAAATGATGAAACCCTAATTAACATGATTACATGATAACCCGAAAACCCATAACTAATATTTAATCAATTCTGGTTTACAACACAGCTTCAATGAAAGTTGAATTATTGTTGTTTATTTGAAAGTGATTTTATTCAATTTTATCACTTTTATTTATAACTAGTACAGTAGAGTATAGGCATAATGTAATCAAAGCAATGAGGACACGGAGAGGTCACAGGTCTACAGGAATTATTATAAATAAAAGTGATAAAATTGAATAAAATCACTTTCAAATAAACGCTTTGATGCTCATTTGTAAATACATAAACTTAATTTAAAACTTTCTAACTTTGCTGGTTTATACTGTGCTTGGTTTGGACTGTACTGGCTTGAAAATACTAACTACCGATTTGCATAAATACATTAGAAAATCGCCGTTTTATTGCCCCATCCTTTATATTAATTTATTGTTATTTTCTAAAGAAAAATCGATTTTCTTACATTTAAATTAAAATAAATCGTATACTGGTACTGTGATGGAGAAAACAATAAATTTTACCTACATATATTACTTATTAGTTAAATATTACTGACGTGTATAGCCACTAGCGGTCGGCTGTTGCCTGTTATTTAACAATAACCTTTTATGGAGATTTTAAAAATTATGTTTTTTTAATAATAGCATAGGAGCAGTCTCATGATGTTAAATGTTCACGAGATTTGATCTAGTCATAAAATAAAGTACTATCATTCATGACTTTTAAATACTATTAAGATATATCTTAACTTGAACACAGTAATAAAATAATGAAATATTTTATACAAAATTATAAACTAAAAAATGAAAACTAGCACGAAGTAGATTACATATCTTATATAAGATAATTTAAATCATCAAGCGTGAATCTCTTTAAATGAATAACAGTATAACAATATGCATAACATTAGTTTTCTTTTAAAAAAATTGTGTAATAAAAAATACATTTTGAGGCGGTATACTGCATAGAGACCAACACCTAATCTGAATCCAAAAAACAACAGTCCTCTTCATAATTTGCAGGTAGTTAGACCTTATTTATTCAGAGTTGACCTTCGGTAGGGTTATATAACGCAGGCTATAAAATAACGAGATAACGACAGTGGTTTTGTCGTATCAGAATCATTAAGTGTCTTAATAAGTACACGGATAGGTTTTTTTCCCAATAAATCTTGTGCCTACTATAATCAGTTACACGATTTAGTCGTCTGTGATATCATGTTATAAACACAATATTATGATACCGACCGTTGGGCCCTAACCTAACCTAACACGGATAGACGTTACCAACTGATAGTTTTTAGTGTCTGTTCGTTTCTCTCATCTGGTTCAGTGTTTTTAGTTAAAAAAAAAAAATTGAATTTGTGTAAACTTTAAGTCAAAAGTGCTACTTGAGCAAAAAACTTAATAGTATCATTCTGCATAGATATACATAAAATTGTTTTAATGATTTGATCAATTTTTTTTAAAGAGTTTAGGTGTTTTTGTTAAAATATACGAAATCTGCAAAAACACAGTTTCCCGGTAATTAAAAAAAAACTGTAGTGCCGAATTTTTTTCCCGTTCAATATGTTATGGATACATATGAGTTCCAACTACTGGCAAATTTTCAACCAAAAAATTTAAAATTACGGCGAAAAACCCCGAAAAACAAAAAAACTTGTACCCCCCCAAGGGGGGTGGGAAATGAGTATAGTTTAAATTTGACACATCTAACGTGTGCGAGCATATCAAATAATTATTTTTTACACATTTCAACACGATCCGACTCTTTTTCTCGAAATTATAGCCAGTAAAAGTTCTAACTTGAAAACTCGTCCGGTTTGTTTTTTTGTTTTTTCAAATTATGTCTGTGAAGAATTAAACTTTTTCAACTTTTACCCCCCCCCCCCTAAGTACAAACTAGATCAAATTTGTGATTTAGGGAGTTGTTATTCGAAGGTAATGGTTTAGTATTAAAAAAGTTACAGTGTATACTGCGAAAAAAAAAGCCCACATCAGAGTAAAACCAATACCTTCTCGCTTTGCATCGAAGCTAAAAAATAAATTAAAAACATCAATTTGAAAACAATACCTTCGCAACTAGGTATTGAAGCTAAAATGTTTAACAAAAAGGTTATTAGTAATTTATTCTACTTTATAAGTTGAAATACATTTTTATTTCTAAAGTCTTACACCAATAACAAGTGGTGTAAGTTGTGTTCTGTACGGTTAATTTATTTAGTCGAGTTCTAATATAAATGTGAAAAACTATGTAACTTTTTTGAAATATGTATAACAAATAGTGTATATAGCATAGGAGAGTATATTTGGTGAGTTGTAATGTTCTTACATTGTGAAATATTTGTGGTATGGCTTTTTGGGGGAGTTTTAAATATAGTAACAAGTAATAAAATCTTTAACTTCAGATATCCAAGTGTAAAATTAATATGAATACTTCCATTAGACAATGGTCTCTGTGTATCATGAAAAATATAATGATTCTAAACATTTCACTGCACTAAACATTTTAAAACGGAAAAAACGACAAGCCTTTTAAGTCGTTTACTTTAGGCCATTTAACCCAATCCTTCACTGGTTTCTTCTTCGGTGAAATTTTCGAATTATGACATAATGCACGCTATTACCTTATGACAGTCAAAACTCAATGAATAACTTACCGATGATATTTCGTATGCTAATATTTCTGATGACAATAAGAATCTTAAAGGAATAGAATTTTTTTTTTATTTTACTTTTTCAAGCAAAGTTTAAGAGAAGTAGATCTGAAAATTAGACCTAAGGTAGATCTAGAATGAAACCATAACATATACAATTTTCTCAAAAATCTGTAAGCAAATTTTTCTTTTATTTAGGAAAAACACCAGAATTAAGGTAAATTTACATTTTGACCGTAGTCAGTTTCAAGGTTTCTATGTGTGTGTGAATCAACAGTCAACACGCAATGAAAATATTTTCATTATATTGTTAATTACAACATATTGGTATTATACATATACGTATTATAACTAAAAAGCAACCTTGTAAATTAGTTCTGCCAATAACACCAACAGAGAAAATTAATGTCGTTGAATAACTAGCGTAATGTTATTCATGAACACAAAATACACACACTTGCGAAAATCAGAACAATGAAATTATGATAATAATTGTTTGAAAAACTAAAACATATATTAGTACCATGAGAAAAAATTTAAATTCTTGTAAATTGTTTCTATGTCAATAGAACTACCATTATAATTTAATATCGTTAAAGAAGTATTATACCTTTCTTAGTCCAGCGAGTAGCGTGTTGGTATAGTCAGTATAAGTTATTAATTAACTTGTATTTCAAATTAATCCTTTGTAACACTTGAAGATTGCGTGTAAAATACAAACACTTCAACAGCAATGGAAACTAAAACGTTAATACTACCATCACCGAGCACAATCAGTCAAATCTATAGCGAGTTGGGTACTTCTGAGACACAAATAGATCTTGACGTGAAATTTCTCAAGGAGTGGATGCGAAAACAGCCCCATCTTCCCAACCCAGACGGTATAATGTATTATTTTTATTTTTAGATATTCTCTTAATATTAAACACCAATCAATACAATTATTCATTAGACGATGAAAAGAGGATTGATGAAAAACGAATCAAAATGTTTTTGATCAAGTGCAAGAATAGTTTGGAGAAAACCAAAGTGGTGTTGGACCAGCATTACACTGTAAAACTCCTAATACCAGAATACTACACCGAGTGGGATCCGACTTCACCAGAGATAACTCAAGCAATGAAACTTTTGTTAGTATTTACATAGCTACTATATTTGGTTGCGGCAAAATAAAAATAACGTTAAACCTTTAGTAAATCAAGCAGACTTTTTGCCATTTACCCCATTTAAATGAAAATACAATTTTCTTCAATATTATAAATAAATTATTAATACTTCATTGCCATTTATAGTTGAAACATTGATTTTCTAGTTGTTGTGCCCCATTACCAAACCCAACTCATGAGGGCCACAGAGTAACCCTCTTTAGTATAAGGACTGAAGAAGCCGACCATTTTGTATGTAATGATAGTTTTAAACTATGTACTATGTCATTTGATCTCAGACTGGTTAAATTAGACACCTACAAAAAGGACATATTCATTTATGATACAAATAATTTGACCATGAATCACTTAACAGCATTTTTAGCTAATGTTAGAAAAGGCCTTGAAAATGCATTAGTAAGTAATTTTTGAATATTCATTTAATATTACTCTGATTCGAGAGTTTATAGATTAACTGTTGAAAGGATTAAAGCTTATTATAGTTATATGTATATACATATATATTATGTTAATAATAACATATTAGATCTTTATAAAATTATTAATTTTACTTCTTTTCATTATAATTTAGTAAATAATATCTTAATTATTTTATGTATTTAGAAGGTATACCCAGCGCAGATCCACCAAATTCACATAATTAATATGAGAAGTTTCATGCAGCCGTTATTTAATATCATAATAAGTCTTTTGAATAAGAAAATTTCCCAGAGGGTAATTAATCACACATGTTTTAAAATGTATTTAGAAGTGTTTCAATGGTATTTGTGTACTACAGATATTTAATCACAAATCCATCGAAGATCTGAAAAACAACATCGATCCTAGTATTCTTCCACTTAACTACGGAGGAACTTATCCCCAGACGTCTGATGAAATAATAGGTAATAAAAATTATTGCATAAATCATAAATTTTAATTTTAACATATTATTTTTTCGATTAAATTCGGAATACAAAATATTGAATATGTTTTTCTAACCCACGTATCTCTGTTTCTTCTTAAGATAAGCTTTTGAAATTTAAAATATAGATTAAGCTCGAGTATCTTAGGATACTGTAAAAAAGTTACCTCTTAATAGTAACCTTGATCAAAAGAGGAGAATTTCAAAGTTTTCATTTTTGATAATGACTAACTGATTCGTTCACTCACTCACTCACTCATCATCAAAATTATAAAACACTTCCCGTATAGTTTTACCTATACGTGAAATTTGGCACAAAGGCAGGTCTTATAGATTATCTAAAGGGTAAATCAGAAAGTTGTAATTTTCTCAAAACTAATGTCAATTAAGTGAGTTTAGTTCTAATTGCATGATTTGACGCCCATGAAAATTGCTTGATTAGATAAGCACTGGTGTTTATTAATTTATCAAAGACACCCGCGCCGTCCAAACAAACGTTCTCTTTATGTGTTACAATATTGCAAAGAGCAATTATTTGTAAGAAAAATTGTATTAGAGCAAAATCTTCAAAGCAGCCGCGTGAATCAAACCATAGTCAGCAAGAAGAAATGATATCTTCAACAAAAACCTAGCATTGAAAAATGGCCATAATCTCACTTCAATCCTACTTTTATTAGCAACACTTCATTTCTATTTGTATTGCTTTACACTTGGCCAATTTCTGAATGAAGCATAAAACATCATTATCAAATGTACTCACTTAGGAGTTACGTGGGTGATAGAAAGTATATAACTCAGAAAAAAAGAAATTTCTGTTCAGATCCCCTACCAAAAAAGTCAGCCAATCAAAGTAGTGGTATCTACATAAGAAAGGTAAGTTTTCATTCAGAAACTGGCTTAGTGTTAATTAATACAAATAAAAGAGAAGTGTGGCTTATGAATGTAGCAGTGAAGTGAGGTTATGAACTAAGAAAATAGAAAACTTAGCCACACTGTAGATACCACTCCTTTAAAAGGCTGATTTTTCTTTTGGATAAATATAATGTCACATACAATCTTGTGTAAAATAATATTTTTAATATTTTGATGTATCATGCAAAAAATTAAGTTATAAATAATATGAACTTGTTTGAAATTGTTATAAATAATTAAGATAATTCTTGCTTAAAGAACTCATCAGTGTGCAAAACGGATATTGTGCCGTTATCATTGAAATCCAGTTTGATTGCTTGTTAATAAATTTATGAAAAAATAATAGATGGACCCTGATGACGGGTATAATTTATATAACTAAAACTGATTCAGGTTTGAACTATATGGCTTACGAATTATTTATTTCAATACATACGAATGTCATTTTAGCTGAACAATCGGATTCACATCATAATTTATTTGTTTTAATTGCAGACGACTGGTACGATGAGTTGATAAAGCACCGAGAATGGCTTATAACCCAATCGTCAATTGTAGCAGATAACAGTAAACGCCCGAAAAATTCCAACAACCACTTGGATAATATTGAAAACGCAATCGAAGGTTCTTTTAGGAAATTGGAAGTCGATTAATGATGATTCAATAATCAGTTAATATAAATTCGCTAATTCTCTAAGAAACCATGTATGCATAAGCTGATGGTTTCTTGACAACATAAATGTAATGTCATGTACTTGAATTCAACTTACATAATACTACAATTTCAACAACGTTATTGTCTTTTGGTTTTTTTTTTTAAATATATGTAATGCAAAATATTGAATACTTATAAAGTATTGTTTCTATTGTAATTTTTTATAGTGACCTTATTGAATATTATACGATAGTAGATTATACTTATTATATAACATAACACATTACTAGAATTCATATTTTTATTCAAATGCAAGTTTCATATCGATTGTGTATGTGAACGTAAATTGTACTAACATCTATTAAAAATCAAATTTTATTCATTGGCTTTGAATGCTCATAGGCATGATAGTATAAATTTTAAGAATAATTAAAAACTCAATTACTCTTTGTGCATAACAAATTATTAACCCAACATTTCAATAATATCACGGCTAGGGGTTAAAGTAAAAACAAATCCATGTAAATTAAAAAAAAAAACCTTTTTGAATGTTTAAATGATAACACTATGGCTATTCTATCTTCTTTAGAACCCTGTAAATTGTCCTTTTATCTAATGTATAAAATTTTAAATATTGTATTAACACTCATTTTTTCACAGGAAAAATATTGTTTGTCCATTTTTAACATTTTAAAATGTCCACTGTACTTTTAATTTAACACCTAAGAGTAATTTGAAAAAAAAAACAGACTAATCAAAGAGATATAGAATAAACATTTTAGTTATTGAGTATATTTTTTTATAATAGCATAATAAATTGTTACCTAATAGTTAAACATTTTAGCTTCAATGCAGAGCTGAGAAGGTATTGTTTTTTGTTATTTTTGTAACTGGACTCAAGATATCTCTTTAACCGCTTACTTTAGACGGTGTAAGATAACTAAAACGTCATTAACCTAACCTAACTCAACCCTAAACGTATCTACCACCGTACTTTCGCCCCTTCCCAGATTACGCATTTAGGTCATAATTACCAAATATTCTGAATAGCAATAGGCAATATTAATAATGTATCTAGTTGATGTATTAGACAATAGCTTTTAAAACGCATCTAAATATGGCAAACTTCTAATTTTCATTTTCTAAAAATGTGTAGGTAGAAGTATTTTAACTAAAAAAAAAAAAAAAAATGAAAACATTTCTAGATTTTAAAATTAATGGAACAAAAATTGTTTTACGATGTTCTGATTGTAAACCAAAACACATACTAGATTTAATTTTTTTTTAAGCAAATATATACATGTAAATAAAATATTAAAACATTGAATTTAAATTATTACTAAAAGTATATTCTACAGAAATAATAATTATTAAGGAAAATTAAAATTTGTGTACATTAGTTTAGGAACATGACAAAACATTAATTATTTTAAGATTAAATTGTGTTTTAAATTTAGTATTAGTAAACTGCTTTAGTCTGGTCGTTAAAAATGTCCTTGTTAGTTGTGCTGTGGTGTTTACGACATTATACCATTTCTGTTCTTAAAAGCACCAAAAGTCACGGTGTTAACACTGTGTATGTGAGCGCTTAGAGATTAAAAAATGACAAAAAAAGTTTAATTTTCCGTTGATTAATAATGAAATATTTTATTAATCAAGTATATGAATCATTACTAATCGACTTCTAATTTCCTAAATGAACCTTCAATTGCGTTAAATAATTAAAATCATAATTCTTACACCATTGTACGCGTGTGAATTTGTTTTAATAATATAAATTATTCAACGACTTTTATATTCGTGTTGTTAATTTAATTATAGGTATAAAAAATAGACACTCGTGAGGTACTCGCATATTGTTATGTTCGAAATATCCGAAATTAATCTACTAACTTGACCTCTTCAATTAAGAGCTTTGGCTTTGTTCTCTTGGTCAATTTGATGAAACAAGAGCACAGAGAAGATTTTTTTCAGCTTAACAAAATTGCCCCGAGCTGAGAAAATTGGTAACAGTTACTGCTATATTGCCAGTTGTTTAAGGCAGGTGACACACGGGGAAATTTGTTTAATCAATTTAATCACATGAAGCATATTTCATAGTCATTACACAAAGAAAAGATGTGTTTCATAAATATTATTTTTGTCTACATACTTCAAGTACAAACAGCTCATTATAGGCATACATATAACGCCCGATGATGACATTATGTATGTGGTAGTTAAATCTAAGGAAGAATATAAATAAAAAATGCATGCATTTTTAAAATTTTATATGACACTAAATAATAATAATATATGATAAAGTAACAATAATTATAACTAATAAGAGAAAATATTAAATATTTTATTAAACCCTATGAGATATTGAGTGGTTCACGATAAGTGGATCACCCTGTATATTACAACATTAATAATATGCATACATTATATTTTAACTAAATTACGATTTTCACATAGCTTATGAACGTCCTTATTGTTGCGTGATATTATTTCTTTTTAGCCCATATTATATTCTTCGTAATATTCGTCTTTCAAAGATTGCTATTTTGTCTTCATCTCCTGTGGTCGTTGGCCATGTTTCACAAGCATATAAAAGAACTGGTCTGATAATTACTTTGTAAAGTGTAATTTTCGATTTGATTGATACTTGTTTTGATTTAAATTTGAAAAAAAACAATTCATTCTGATTATTTGATCATTTTTACACATGTACATATTATGAATTTCCCAATTCCCAATTGACCAATCGAAATGTTTAATGAACTATACCGTTTTTTTGCCAAAAGAATTATGACCGAAATTGATTATTCCTACAACAAATGTACACAAGTAATATTTTCATAAAGATGACCTGTTTTTTTTAACAACGTTATGTGTACATAAAATCTTTCAGTTAAAGCACCAAATTATATTTAACAAAATTAATACCGTGATAAATAATAATAATAAATAAACTGTAGACACAATATTTTCAGGTGTCGGGCATAATAAATGACACAAGTCTGAATAACATTATCGTTATACTTATAGCGGTAATATTATTTTTAGTAGTTGTGTATTATAAAATTGTAAACCGGAGAAAGATATCATTGGCAAAACGAATACCAGGTCCAGATAGATTATTTTTTGCGCTATCCACTTTACTTGAAGGACCTGAAAAATTATTGAAGAATATATTAAAAGTTTCCAGAAAGTAATTACGCTCTTTTCTCTTTTATCTATTAAATTTTATTTTATTTTTGGATATTCTCAATTTCTAGTAATTTGAGTGCAACAAATAACGATAATTAGTTTTGTTGTCTTTGTGAGTTAGATACGAGAATACTTTAAAGAAAGCCTGGATTTTAGATCAATTATTCGTATTTCCTGGAAACCCCGAAGAAATAGAAGC